CTGAAAAATTCCTTCCTTCAATCTTGACACTTCAATACCAAGAAAGTATTTTAAGTAGCCGAGATTTTTCATTTCAAACTCTCGGGCAAGATGACCCTACAATGCTTTCTTCTCTTCAGGATCATTCCCAGTTACTATAATATCATCAACGTACACAATAAGAGCTGTGATTGCTTCCTTTGGTTTCCATAATACATATAGGAGTTAATTCCATATATACTTTTTCTTGGAGATCTCCATGCAAAAATGCATTTTTAACATCAAACTGATATAAGGGCTAGTCAAGATTCACGGCTAGAGATAGTAGAATTCGAACAATATTGATCTTGGCCACGGGTGCAAATGTCTCCATGTAATCAATCCTGTAGGTTTGCGTATATCCTTTGGCATCAAGCCTTGCTTTGAACCTTTCAATGTTGCCATTAGCTTTATATTTAATGGTAAATACCCACACGCATCCGACTGGTGTCTTTCCTACAGGTAAGTCAACCACTTCCCATGTTGAATTCTTTTGGAGGGACCTCATTTCTTCATTCATAGCTTCTCTCCACTTAGGATCTTTTAAGGCCTCCTACACACTACTAGGTATAAATATAGCAGATGATTGACTCACAAACACTTCACTTTCCTTTGACAATCTATGGTAAGACACAAAATTATTCATGGGATACTGAGACTTAGAGATGAGAAGAGGTTCATAGTTAACTCTAGGTTTTCCTCTTGTGGTTCGATGAGGTAGTACTTTTAGTTGAGTTTCAGAATTTACCTGAGGCTCAGACGTGGACTCAGGCTCAAAAAGCAATTGATCCACTGGTACATTATGAAGGGGGGAAGTAGTCGGCTGAGATTCTGGTTGCACCACTTCCATTTGGTCTTGACTGTTTTCATCCTGTAAATCATGCTCATTTGTATCATTTGGATGTTGATTGTTGTAATCCAAATACTCACCACTTGGACACTTAGTTCTATCATCCAATTTGTCACCACTCATAATATCCAAGGTGTCCAAATGGTGATTAAGAGTCTGCAATTCAATTCTATTCTCCCCCTAAATTGAAGACTCAGGAGTAGGATACTACATGTTATCTTCATGAAATACAACATCAAGAGTGACATACAATTTTTGAGAGGGAAGATGATAGCAACGATAGCCTTTTTGATGTTGAGCATAACCAACAAAGACACACTTAAGAGCTGGGGGTTCCAATTTATTTCTCAATGGCTTATGAAGATGAACAAAGGCTACACACTCAAAAACTCTAGGTGACAGATTTGGCACAATGGGTGAATTCATGGCTTCATGAAGAGCACTTAAAGGGGTATAAAATTGCAATGCACTCGAGGGTATTCAGTTGATAAGATAAGCTGCAGTTGTGATGGCTTCACCCCCAATAACTCGTCAACATATGAGCTCAAACAAGGAAGCACGAACAACTTCAAGAAGGTGATGGTTCTTGCGCTTTGCAACCCCATTTTGCTGAAGGGTGTAAGGACAAGTAGTTTGATGAGTAATACCATGATCATTTAGATATGCTGGTTTTACCACAACATCAAGGTGGCATGGAATCTCATTATGCTAGGGTTGAAAGTGAATAAGTGGTTTGGCACATTCCAACCCATTATGATAGTGGTGTGAGTTGTCAAATTCCAAGTTGATGAGATTTTGTAAGTTGTCAACCATGTAATAATGTACCTCCTTCAACCCTCCCCTATTTAAAGGGTTGGAGCTATCATTTTTAAGTATAAAGTTATAGGAGCTCAAGAGTAGTTCTAAGCTTGAGCAAAGAGTTGTCCTTAAGAGTGTGAGTGTTTGAGTGTCTAAGTGTCTTATGAGTGTTCTCTTCTCTTGTGTTATCCCCCCTTGGTTGAGTCCTTCTTATGTAATGTGTTCTCATAGTTGGACACCGGGAAGCTTGCCCCTTGAGACTGGGTCCTTCGTTTGGAATTGCCCTTTTCTTTCTAGTTTGGAATTCCTCGTTGCTTTCCCCTTTGACCTGTGCCAAACTCTACTTTTGCTGTTGCCAGGTGGAATGATTCATGGAACCTCGGTATCGGCAACCAACACGCCCTTCTCTGTCGAATGAATCTTCAAACCACGACTCCGATCACGGTTGCCAGTTGACTTTCTCTAAGGTGACAGGGACAGGAGAACACTTCAAAAAATGCGCTTTGACAGCGAGAGAGATCTTTGAAATTCAATCAAAATAGCACTGAGTGAGAAAGAAATAGGATTCTTCTCTAAGTCGCGTGGATCACAAAATGGATCTATGATTTCAAGTCCACTCGTTGAATTGCTTCAAATCTTGATTAACAAATTCTCCACCATTGTCACTGCGGAGAGCTTGTATTTTAGAATGATATTGAGTGGCTATCATTTTGTGAAATTGTTTGAATAATGAACTAACTTCACTTTTTGAGTTCATTAAGCAAATCCAAGTCATACGGGTGTGATCATCAATAAAGGAAACAAACCACCGTTTATCACTAAGAGAGGGGGTATTTGCTAGACCCCATACATCAGAGTGAATAATCATAAAAGGTGCTGGACTTTTATTCATACTTATTTGAAATGGAACACGATGACTTTTAGCCAATTCACACACATCATACTTAAAGTCTGAAACAGATAATCGAGTAAAGAGTTTTGGAAACAATTTCTTTAAATATCCAAAGGATGAGTAACCCAAACGTTTATGCCATAGCCAAATTTTAGAATCTGTAGATTTATTCACGGAGAATGCTTGAGCTAACTGATGAGAACTTGCCGGCATTAAATCAAGGTAATAGAGCTTCCCCCTTCTAGTACCATAACCAATTGTCCTCCGAGTTTGAATGTCCTTAAAAACACAAAGGTTAGGCCAAAAAATCACAATACAATGCAGAGTGAGAGTTATTTGAGCAACCGATAATAAATTATGATTGAGGGTTGGAACAACTAATACAAAATCAAGACTCAGATTTTCAGTGAGGGTGATAGAGCCTTCTCCAATAACAGGAGAGGGAGTACCATTTGATGTGGATACAATATGTTGTTCAAATGGTTTCATAGATTGAATATGATGATTGTCAAAGGTCATCTGGTCAGTAGCCCCAGAGTCAATTATCCATTCACTACTACTACTAGGAGCGGAAGTATGAAGAGCCTTACCAAATGTAGCAATTAAAGCTGAGGCATCCTCAGGCGTGTTGGAGGTGGAAGGTCTTGCTATTGCAACTGAGGCATGATTATTTGGTTTAGAGTTCTGTTTGTGAGGTGCTTTGGTAGGATCCCACCATTCTGGATACCCAATCAATTCATAGCATCGTGACTTCGTATGCCCTGTTTCACCACAGTGAGTACAAATGCGCTCTGATTTTGCTGTTCCAATCTCATAGCTATGATTCTAAGATCTTGATGCCCGATTGTGATCAATGATAGGACCAATTGATCGATTTGTTTTAGGCTTAGCTCGACGTGCCACCATTGCAGATGACTCAACACGATTAGCTTCACCATTTAGAGTGGTTCTGCGAACAGAGTCACGACGTACGTAAGCTTAGGCTTCTTCAAGATCTAATATCGTGTCCTTTCTAAGAATCTCCCCTCAGACTTGTTCGAATTATGCATCCAAATCCATTCAAGAAAATGTGTACACACAATCTTTCAACTGATTTTCTATAGGCAATAACATCATTAGGATCTTTCATTACAATCCTGTCACGATGATCAAGTTCTTCAAAAATTTCCACAAGATCACCATAATACGTTGATAGAGGGCGACCAATCTGTTTGGTAGAGAAAACTCTCTGATTCAATGAAAAAAGTAGTGATTAGTCTGATCCATCATAGAAAGCTTTGGCTAGAGCATTCTAGATTTCATGTGTGGTGCGTAGTCGAATATAGTGCTTCTCAATATCTGGTGACATAGAGGTTAGCAACCACCCCTTGACCTTTTGATTTTCAGCATACCACTTCGCATAGAAGCATCAGTATCTTGTGGGAGTGGTGTTTTGCCCATAATATATTCAAGCTTCTCACGTCTTGCAATTTGCATCTCCATGATCTAGGACCATACATCGTAGTTAATTTCAATAAGAATGACGCTGGATGTAAAACCAGAGTTTTCGGATTGAACAAAAATGATTGGTGTTGATTCAGTTTTGTCATTCGACATGATGCAAAATAAAAATTGAGAGTTCAGCGGTGATCGGAACAACTCTGATACCAAGTCAGAACTAAGGTTTTGGAAAAACTTGTATTGCTCTTCTCAACGTTGGCATAAATAGCCACTATACATGGTAAGATCCTAAAGTTAAGGATCGTAATAGACTAATCTAGAAAAGAATAAACTACCTAAATAATTATAGAGATTCTAGTCTATTCTATACAAGTAGAAGGAAGTAATCTTGGAGCATTAACATATCGTACACCAGCTTGGAAAGAATCAATCAAGAAATGTCAACAAGAAATAATCTTTATGTAATAGTATGTTATAATTGGGTTAAGGATAAAAATTTGAGACGAACACCCTTTTTAAGCTAGCAATTCTCTGGATTCTCTCCATAGGATGCTAAGTGAATATTTGCCTAGTGGACATTACAATAGTTTTTAATTTTTGAATTTTATCAATTAAAAAGGTTTCAATCGTCAGTTTGTAGATTCTGAAACCATATCATAATGATCAACGTCATAAAAGATAATCAATTAAGGTATAATAGACTTTTCTATATCATTAACTTTTTTTTTTTTTTTTGGTTAAATTAAATGGTTTTTTTTACGGTTAAGCTTTCTTTTTTTGTCTTTTTAGAAACTTATATCCCTCTTTTAATTGTTTTAATAAACATATGTTGTTATTTTGATTTTCTCCTCGTTAAATATGATAAATCCTTTAGTTTTTTCTTCTTTCTCATGAATATTTTTTAAATTTCAGTCTAGTAATAAAAATTAATCATTGATTTTCTTGGAAATTCTCATTAAATTTTGTCTTATTCATAAAACAAAAATAATTTTAAACTAGAGTTGTCTATGAGTGGCGTGATCGGATTTGATGAGCATAAATTCTACAAAACCCGACTTGATCAAAAAGTACCTGCCCGAATGTACTGAAAAAGCCGCCACGGTGCTACCCACTCAGTATCAAAGCGGCTTAGCGCTTTCAAAAATCAAAACCCAAAAATTAGTTTCAAAAATCATCTCAACACTTTCTATGAAGCCCAACACTAACACCATAATAATTTCGGTCGGATCTTGAAGAAGGAAGAACCATTTTGAGTAAGTTCAATTTTTACTCTTTTAATTTCAAATATATTTCTCTTTCAAGAATTTCGCTTCTTTTCGACGATATAATCTGGGCGAAAATGTAGAATATGATAAGAATGGAACATTTTTAGAGTTTTGATAATCAGCTGAGTTGAAAACTCTGTTAAATACCGTGGAAACTGGCCTCAATATCATAGTATAACTTTGTTTTTCTTTGCTGCTTAGAAAAATTAGAATAGTAGGAAATCTGATTCTGAACTTTAGATTTAAGATAAATATGTTATTTAGCTTAATAGGATTGTGTTATGGCGTGTTTTGGAGTGCTTTTCACACCATTGACAGCAGTTTTTTTAATAGTTCAAAGCATTTCTGCACAATTTTTTTCTTTTCTTTTTTTTTTTTTGTGTGTGTGTGTGTGTGTTTGGCTGAAATGCTTTTTTAGATTAAAAAAAAGAAAAGGGAACTTAAATCTGCTTTCTGTAGATAATCCTGATAGATTTTTGTTTTTTGATTTTAAGCATAGTTTTAGATAAGGAAAAGATTGGAAGTTACACTTCTTAAGTATCTCACAGGTGCTTTTGTGTAAAGCATTCATGCTCAAAATCACTCATGTCATAGGCGCTTTCTGGAAAAAGTACTTCCAATTCCCAAATGCAGCTTTACTAATTGTGTCTTATATAATCCTCTTTTTTCTGAACAAATTAAAGGCCACCGGGATTGTGTTATTGATTGTTACTTATGTTTGTTTAGTTTATCTTATAAAACAACTTTTCTTAAAATATCTAATTTATTATATCTACTTTAATTCATTGAATATGTTTGCTTATATTAGTCACTTCTTTCTAAATTACATATTCTAATTTTGTTTGATGGACTTGTGTTCTCCCTTGGGTTCAGAGATAATGTTTCTAATCTTTTCTGGTAACTTGTAAAAACACATCATCTTATATAGGAGTTTTTTTATTCTTGTTGTTATTGTTCTTCTTTCATTTTATAGAACTGAATGACTTCTTCTTGATGCATAATTCATTGTAGAATTTCCCAGCAGTCACTTCATTTCTGTTTTTTTTTTCAATTTACATGAAGGCATTTTGGAAATTTCTAATCTTACCATCATGCTTAATTGTTGTCTTGGAGGGGGAGGGGAAGTGTTCATAGTTTCCCCAGCTTGAGGGGTATCAATTCCATAAATTTGAAGTAGTCATTGATATTTACCCTTACTTTAATCACTTCTAGATTCTCATTTTCATCAATTTTTGTTGATCTGTGAGGGGGAAAAGGTTGTAGTGGATAAGGGGAAATTTGGTTCCTCGATTCTCCATTTCCCTTCTTACTTAATTTACCAATGAAATTAATTTCCTCCTTTTCCTCATTTCAGACCTGTTGTAGTCAATTGCTCAAGTAAGGGTTTATGTAAACAAGTAAAGAACATGGCAACAGAATCATCAGAATCAGAAGAAGAAGGGAAATTCACAGGAGGAAATCAACACTTATTGGTTGATGATGACCTCAGAGAAATAGGCAAGAAAGCTGCTTGGAGTGTTAGCTCTTGCAAGCCAAGCAATGGCGTCTCCTCTCTTCGTGATGATAATCTTGATACCTATTGGCAGTAAAACTTCTCTTCACTCTCTCCAATCTCTTTATCTGCTTAAAAGCTATTGCTTTTTAGTTTTATTAAAAAAAAAAAATTGGATTTTAGATCAGATGGTGCACAGCCACATTTGGTTAATATTCAATTCCAGAAGAAAGTTAAGTTGCAAGTATGTATTGGGTATCTCTCATTTATTTATTTATTTTAATCTGATTTTGGGTGTTGAGATTTTTGCGCCGAAAGTGAATTTTGAAACTTATTCTGTTTTGAAGTTAGTTGTTATTTATGTGGACTTCAAGCTTGATGAGAGCTATACACCTAGTAAGATCTCTATTCGAGCTGGTGATGGTTTCCACAACTTAAAGGTATTTTCTTAAATTTTGGACTTTTATGTCTTATATTAAGAACTTTATGAATCAGGATGATTAATGAATCAAAGTATGTTCCTTTCTATTATATGCCTTTATTACAAATCAGCTTGTTTGATTCTGGGTTTTGCCCATGCAATTTTAGGAGATAAAAACTGTGGAACTTGTCAAGCCGTCTGGGTGGGTTTATATATCTTTATCCGGAAGTGATCCTAGGTAAGTGGTGTATATGTCTCTAAAACATTCCGCCCGCTTATTCTGTGCTCCTTGTAATCATATATAACATCATGTTCCATTTTATTTAATTTAGGGTGAGAAATAGTTTAATTCCAATTTTGTTGTATAATTGCATTGTGTGCAAATTTGATATTTGACTAACAGAGAGATGAGAACTAACAGAAGGTTATACTAGAATGGATGGTATTGGTGGATAACTTTACTGTTCAACCCCTGCTCACATCAACCCATTTCAAGAATCAAACGCTGGTTTTCTTCCTTTTCCTCATCTTGCATCAGATGAAAGTAGACATTTTAAATATTATTTTGGGCACTTCAATTTGAAGTGAAGAATACAAGTTGATACCTCTTGTTATCATCAAATGTTGGACGGGGGTGTGATAAAAGTTTGACATGAAAACTTTTGAATCTCATAATAAATTTTTGCATAAAGTAACTTTCAGAAATTCATTATGCAAGTTAAGAGTGTAATTCGTATATTACTGTTTCTTAAAACTATATAATTTTAAAAAATATTGTCATCCTCAGTTATGTTTAGGATTCAAGTTGTCCAATTCCGACTTCCCCTTTGTATCCGAAATTGTAAGAAAACATGCAACTGTTTATATTTCAACAATCTTTACTATGATCCTGTCTCTTGTTTGATTTGTTTTTTAGTTATTGAAAAACAGATGAGATGAGTGTTGACTTGATGATCTTACTTTAAGCTTGCTGGCCAAAAGATGTGTAGCAATAAAGAGTTTCTTTATAATTTTTCTGTTTGAGTATTCTGAAATTCCTTATCTTTGCAATTTTAATGTGTTTAGCATAATGATTGTTGATTTGTTGCTATGTGAAATTGACTAACGTGCAATTGATGCATGAGATATCTTAGTTTGCCTGTTTCCAATGTTCAATATGGATTGAATTTGAATGCAGGGAAACCTTTGTTAATACTTTTATGTTGCAAATTGCGGTATTGTCAAACCACCTTAACGGGAGGGATACTCATGTCCGGCAAATCAAAATTTATGGCCCTCGACTGTGCGTTGTTTTCTCAAATCCTCTTTTTCTCTTCTTAGTTTCTGATCACTATAATTTCAATCTCTTTTATCTTGGTGCAGGAACCCCATTCCTCATCAGCCATTTCAGTTTACTTCAAGGGAGTTTATTACATACTCTACAGTGAGATGAGAAATGTGGGACTTTTTTGGCGTTATCGGATCATATTTCTGTTTTCTGATGTTAAAGGTGGAAAATATGTAACTCTTTCCTTCAACTTTTTGATATTTTATTTTGCCTCTCTTGTGTGTAACTAATATGAACCATCAGTTCCGAAATCACTGTGACAATTTTTTTTTTTTTTAATCAAAATACTAATGAATTTATTAATAAATTATTTTCAGTAATCATGGATTCTATATTAATATATTAACCTATCTGTATTAAGTAAAAAGAACCTCACTATATTTTATGCTAATTGAAAGCCTATATAAGGACTAATGTTTCTTGATAATTTTTTCATAAAAAGGAAATTATAAAATAGAAAATATCTACCACAGGTTAACTTAAATTAAGGTTTGTGTATTTCATGTTATTTTTGTAAACCAAAACAATAAAGACCATGAGAAAAATAAATTGAACTATTTATCCAATAAAGTTTTTGATCTTTAAAATAATGGATAAGAGAATTTTTAAGATATAGTTTTAGATATAATGTCTTAAAAAAATCAAATACATTACAAAATTGACATGGTATAACGTGATTAGAAAGATATAAAATTTAAAATAAATAAATGAAAATATTTTTACTAAGTTTTAAGGGTGATGATTGATTAAAAATGAGTTAAAAGTACAATTTCTCCTAAGGTACTCATGAATGACATTGCTCTTTATATACCTAAAATGATAACTTATTGTTAGACTTAGTTTAGGATTATCATACTTCGCTCCATAATATCTTTTTAGTTAACTTTAAAAATAATCAGCTTTTGATAAAATTTATTAGGGTTATTTTTTTTCTTAGTTTTAGAATTAATTTTGTTTTTAGGAGAGGAAATATAAGAAATTTAAAATACAGGTATATTTTAAACATTTTTTTTTCTATTATTAAAACATATTAAAAATTATGTTTTAAATAAAAAATTTAGATTTTAAAAAAAAAAAAAGTTGCCATAGCTGACAATGGTCGGCTAGTGCCACGCCAATGACAAAACACTACGGCTGAAACTTTTTCGGTTTGTCTAAGTGTTGACTGTTGAGAGGTTAGTGACAAGGATAGTTTGGTATTTAAATGAAAAAAAAATTGGTTATAAAGGTACAACATGTGGAAAGTTGGTTAATTAATAGCGTCCCCTATTTGTGGTTAAATTAATTAATAACTCATAAAATGTTGGGCAGTAATTAGACTTATGGCAGTAAAATGTGTGAAAAGTGATTTGAAAATTGAAAAAGCAAAAATCCAAAAATCTCTACTGAAATCCAGCGTGAGCGCTTTCAAAACCCAAAATTAGTTGGAAAAATCATTTCAGCAGTTTCTCTTAACTCAATTACCATCAACATTTCAACATTATAATTTCGTTGGAGCTCCAAGAAAGCGTTTCTAGATGTTTTGATCCTCGATTATGAAATTAGGGCTTTCTCTCAACTTCGATCAGTAAGTGCATTCTTCACTCTTTCAACATTACAATTTCATGTTTATTTTCCGAGAAAATGCTATTATACGAATGAACTATTATAGGTTGCTGATAATTTGCTGAGTTGACTCTGTGAGCAACCATTGGAAGTTTTTTTTTTTGTTTTTTTTGGAGTAGTTCAAAGAATTTCTTTGTTAATTTGTTAGGGTTGGGCAGACAAACTTCTTCGGTTAAATGCCTTTCTGAAAAGCTTAGATAAGTATTGGGAGTAATCTTTGATAAGCACTTCATAGATGCTTTCCAGAAAGTATTTGTAATTTTTTTTCTTTTGTAGAGTCTGTGTTATTTAAAATCACTTAAANTTGTTAGACTTAGCTTAGGATTATCATACTTCGTTCCATAATATCTTTTTAGTTAACTTTAAAAATAATCAGCTTTTGATAAAATTTATTAGGGTTATTTTTTTTCTTAGTTTTAGAATTAATTTTGTTTTTAGGAGAGGAAATATAAGAAATTTAAAATACAGGTATATTTTAAACATTTTTTTTTCTATTATTAAAACATATTAAAAATTATGTTTTAAATAAAAAATTTAGATTTTAAAAAAAAAAAAAGTTGCCATAGCTGACAATGGTCGGCTAGTGCCACGCCAATGACAAAACACTACGGCTGAAACTTTTTCGGTTTGTCTAAGTGTTGACTGTTGAGAGGTTAGTGACAAGGATAGTTTGGTATTTAAATGAAAAAAAAATTGGTTATAAAGGTACAACATGTGGAAAGTTGGTTAATTAATAGCGTCCCCTATTTGTGGTTAAATTAATTAATAACTCATAAAATGTTGGGCAGTAATTAGACTTATGGCAGTAAAATGTGTGAAAAGTGATTTGAAAATTGAAAAAGCAAAAATCCAAAAATCTCTACTGAAATCCAGCGTGAGCGCTTTCAAAACCCAAAATTAGTTGGAAAAATCATTTCAGCAGTTTCTCTTAACTCAATTACCATCAACATTTCAACATTATAATTTCGTTGGAGCTCCAAGAAAGCGTTTCTAGATGTTTTGATCCTCGATTATGAAATTAGGGCTTTCTCTCAACTTCGATCAGTAAGTGCATTCTTCACTCTTTCAACATTACAATTTCATGTTTATTTTCCGAGAAAATGCTATTATACGAATGAACTATTATAGGTTGCTGATAATTTGCTGAGTTGACTCTGTGAGCAACCATTGGAAGTTTTTTTTTTTGTTTTTTTTGGAGTAGTTCAAAGAATTTCTTTGTTAATTTGTTAGGGTTGGGCAGACAAACTTCTTCGGTTAAATGCCTTTCTGAAAAGCTTAGATAAGTATTGGGAGTAATCTTTGATAAGCACTTCATAGATGCTTTCCAGAAAGTATTTGTAATTTTTTTTCTTTTGTAGAGTCTGTGTTATTTAAAATCACTTAAAGTATTTTTTTATTTTTTTATTTTTTTTTATTTTACAGAAACACTGATATACACACCATTACTGATTGTTATGCTTTTATGTCTTCCTTTTTATGGACAGATTATAGGGGATTTCTTTATGTGTATTTGTTTTATGTTTATTTTACTGAATGTTTAGTTCTTGAACAGGTTTTGTGAAAGCTGCTTTTAATGATGTCAAGACCCTTGTTACTTGTCTTTCTACTGCTTATACTTATAATCACCTCTCAGTTTGAGTGGCGACAACAACTTGTTGTTGACCTTGACACTACTCCAACTATCAACCAGAAGCAGTACCAAATCTCGAAGAGAGAAGAAGCTGTAAAAGAGAAGGTAACAAATCTTTTATTTTTAGATATGTTTGCTTCCCGTGTGACCTCCTTTTACCTCTGAATTTTATAAAAATATGAAAACAAAATTTGCCTACTGAATTAAGGAATTTAGTTTCTGCTTCTTCAATTAGAAACTCCTGCAAACATTTCATTACACTTATTTTCATGTGATTTTAAAAACTAATGTTCCATTTGCCATATGTGAGAAATTGGGATTGATCAAATTGAATTTGTTTTGCTAATGTGATCACCTTCTGTCATTTTATGCTTAACTCTGCTTTAATTACATGTATTGTTATGAGGGTTTAAAATTTTTTTAAGGTCCTGTATCAATTAAGTGGTCCATGAAAGGAATGTGAGACTTCACTCAATTGTATTTTGAAGGTTTCTATGACAGAAAAAGTCTTTCCTTGATGTCACTGATGATTAAAAAACACACAGGGGTCCTAGTTCCAGTAAGGACGTTTCCCCCCTTCGCTACGCTCTGCCCCCTGGGGGGGACTAGACTGACTTTCCTCTCAATCGGCGAGGCCTAGGTTACACGTCCGGTTATGGATCTATCTCTAATTCTGACAAGGACGTTTCCCCCCTAAATCCCCCTCAGGGGGACTCGTTTGACTAATTACATTCTTTATTTCCCAGTTGGACTAATTAGATTTTCTATTTGGCAGTTTTCCTAATTAGATTTATTGCCAGTTGATAAAATCATATAATGACCATTGAATCTTCAGTGGCTGTCTATATATATATGTGTGTGTGTGTGTGTGTGTGTGTGTCCCTATAGGTTAACTGATCTGTGGAGAGAATGTTAGGCTGTATTCAGGTGTATTTTGAATGTTTCTTGGATTGGATAAGCCTTTCCTTTGCACTGTTGATGACTAAAATATAAGAATAAGAAGCATAGCAGAGATTTGAGTCATGTGTGATAAGTATTTATATTACCTGGTTTGATTACATATATTGTTTACGAAAGTTTAAATGCCTGCTTTAAGTTCTTGTTTAAGTTAATTGATCCATAGAAAGGATGTGAGGCTGTAATGCAAGAATTTTAGTTTCTTACATTGAAATATACTAAAACTAGAGGCGCAAATGGATCATCTTGTGTTGCTAAACCTCAGTCCATTCCATGCCCCATGGCATGACAATGCCCATTGAGATAACATGGTTGTGGTTGTGCCATGTTGCTGTGATATTTGTTTTGCTTCTTTCCTCCTTGGTTATTTTTTTTTAAAATTTCTTGTAGAAAAATTATTAAAGTAGTTGTTTTGAACTGTTAAGAGGGTGAGTTTGCTCATATTTTCCTTTTCAATTAAAAAATTAAAATGTCATGTTGTCTCATGTCAACCTTCCCTACTGTCCTAGTGTGTGCCTTGTGGTGTCATAATAGGGCTACCCATTGATCCCCACGTTCTTGCCCCAACATAGCTTGTCAGTATTGCCATGCCTGTATAAACACCAAACTTGATTGTGTTGTACCTATGCTATTCCAACCTGATTTACACTAAACTTGACCATAGACAAAAACAAAAAACCCTTTGACTTATATAGCTTATGTAATGTTAGGATCCCACATTGGAAATGAATGGGAGGGTTAAATGGCTTATAAGGAGTTGGGCACTCTCCCTTGGCAAACCGGTTTTCCAAAGAGAGTTCTACCTAAGCCTACAAAAGGACCACTGCTCAGCCCAATTCCTATCAAAAGGCCCATTGTCCAACCCAATTCCTATCAATTTGGGAGAGGGTTGCTATCAAATGGTATTGAAGCCAAACCCCGCCTGAGCCAATGTTCTAGAAGGGGCGACTTGGGAGAGTAGGCCAAGAGAGAAAGGCTGTAAGTGGCCCAAAGTAAGCCACCCAGAGTGAAGCCGTCCAGAGCATGCCAACATGGATGTTGGGTCTCGAAGCATGAGGGAATGTTAGGATCCCACATTGGAAATGAATGGAAGGGTTAAGTGGTTTATAAGGAGTTGGACATCCTCCCTTGGCAAGCCGGTTTTCCAAAAAGAGTTCTACCTAAGCCCACAAAAGGACCACTGGCCAGCAAAATTAATATCGAAGGCCCACTACCCAACCTAATTCCTATCAATTTGGGAGTGGGTTTCTATCATGTGACCATTCTGTCAAATCACCTATTCTGATTCCCATGTAATCTGTGTTCTGGAGATTATATGACTTTGTACCAAATATGCTATAACAACTCAGGTATCACTGGTTTGTCCTACACTTTTAGAAAAATTAAGAATCTATTGGCTACCTTTTCATAATAGGTTTCTAAAATCATTTTATTTCATCATAAGAAAATAATTGTAACTGTTGAATAAGTGTCCACCAATGTATTAGTTGCAATCTCGCAGCTACTACATTATGCTGGCTAACTTTTATGTTCTTTCTGTTAGTTCATGACAAGATGGCTGCATTTTTATTGCCTAATAACAATAGAATATTACGATGATTGTGCATAGAGTTGGTAATTGCTGCGAATATGCTGGCACTCCAGTGCTTTGGACTTTATACAGCACAATAATTTTTATAATCATCATGCTTAGTTCTAATGGCAGTTGCATAATGCTGACCAGTAACTGTGAACTACTGGTATGTATGTATGATGAAATAGATAGCATTAATTATCAAAATAGTGGCTGTTTGATTAACACGACTCATAGTTATAAATTGTTCATAGCACACATGGATAATTATCCATTATATGGGGGATCCAATACTGGTTTACGTTATCTGGATTGTTCTTAACCTAGTTTATGAGTAAGCAATTATTTTGTGTAATCTGAAGGGAGAAAAAAAAAAAAAAAAAGAAATAAATAACACTAAAAAAATAAAACAGCTTGTAACACATCAGATGGGAGTGATGATTTAATTTATAATTTGTATCATATGATCATATGCTTTATGCAAGCGAGTTTTCTATATTACATATGAAGTTAGTTCTAGCATGGTTTTGGAGATTAATCTTTGCTTAATGTTTACTAAATATTGTCACTTCTTGTAGATCATCTTATCACAAGAGAAGAACATTCAGAGACTTAATGAACTTGTACGAAGTCTGCAGGAACAATTGTTGTCGTGCAGGGGCAATAATGGGACAACAAATGGCACTGTAAACCACATGACCAAGCATGTTATTGAGCTTGAACGACAGCAGATTCTGGAGGACTAGGCAATTGCTTTACAAGCCTCTGTTTAAAGATTTGGTCTCTTGATGTTGTAAAACCTTCATCTCTCTGCCCAATTTCGATTTGAGGTTCCTTTTGATGTAAGTTTTGTATCTTTTTCATTCAACTGAAACATGCATGATGTTAAAGGGCCACCATACCCATCCGAAGTAATTGACAAGTAAAAAAGCATTGTATTCTTATAGTGATCTAGTATGACATTCTCGTAGCCAGAAACTTAGAGCTAAAATAAGCATGATATGATAAAAAAAACCTACAAAGTGGAAGTAATTATATATTGCTTCTTGTAATATTAAAAAAATGATAATAATTGAGACTAAATATTGTTGATGAAATTTCAGTACTTGACAGAGTTTTGTGTTTTACAAAAATTGTTGCTTCCAATGTAGAAAATACATGAAACAATGCTGCACAGAAGAGTTAATTGCTTCATACAGTGTGTGTACGGTTAACATTTTGTTCTATGTGTTGGTTTTTTGGTGTCTTTATTTTTGTTGAATTTTCTGATTCCTTCTAAACATAAGTGTTATGAAGAGAGGATTGTGGGATAAGTGGAGTTGGCAATGATGTATTTTGCTTGTTTCCTTTTATTCTTTTATTTTTATTTTTATTATTTTTTACCCTTGTGTTTTGTTTTACCTAGTTAATTATCTAAATTCAATTTCAGAGTAATTTCTATATGGAATCAGGATTCTGAAATTGAATCTCTGCAGAACTGTGGTACGGTTCGTTTCACTGTAGTAAGTAAATCATAGGTAATTATCCTGTTGTATTTACCCATTTCATAAATGTATATGGATGTTTATTGCGCCCCTAAAATTATGAACTTTTGTAGTACGTTGCATTGCGAAGTTATGTGCATTTCAAACTAATGATTTCATATATAGATAGATATTCAAAAATCTTATGTAGGATCTGGGATTTTATTAAGGTCTAAATAGAAAACAAAATTTTGAAGTGGATAGTTATGTTAATTGCTTATGGAAAGTAACATTTAAATATAAGAAGAGAAAGATGAAGAACAAAGAAGAATTAGAAGAAAAAGTGCATAAAATTTAGATTAAAAACCTCAGTTGAATCATATAAGTGAAAATTTAAGCTTCTACGTTTTTCAGTATGAATGTTCTGAACTACATTAGCCACTGGTTTAGCTGTGTGGGAGTAAGGCATTCACATTGTTTGCAAAATTTGATGTTGTATTGCTTTATGGAAGTTAGCATTTAGGAATTCAATGTGTAGAAAAAGGGATAGGGTTTGGAAAGAGAGATATTTGATTATGAAAAGCTGAAGAATAATGAGAGGACTGAAGAGGAGAGGAAAACTAGGTTTCCATTACCAAACAAGTCATTACTTCATTAATCAAAAGCTAAGAAAATACTATTATACACAAACATCTATACACTTAGTTTGCTCATGAATTATTATATTAGAATTAGAATTTCTGATATATGAGAGAACAAGGAGTCTTCTAACTACAAAATTTACCTCAGATAAATTAAATAAATAAAGTAATACCAAATAACCCAACTTAAGATTTAACATAACTATTATAAGACCCTATCATGTGGGAACTTGAGAAATTTATTATGTTCCTCCTTTATTCATACAAGTGCTTATGACTTGTAAATTATATAAACTTAGAAGTTGAATGCCTTACAAATCAACAATAGATTCATTTTCCATGGCTCCATATTCAAGATTAGTTGCTTCTAATTAATAGTTTCATTGTACTTCAACAAGCATCATTTACGTTTAATTTGAATTTAAAAACATTGAAACTCTTGAGGGTTTTTTTGGATTAAATATTGAATATGATTTTGATGGAACCCTTTGAATTATATGAGAAGCACAGATAACATCTCATGTAGTAGTAAATATTGCATCGGCAATATCATACTCTCAGACTGTGATAAAACATCTCTCACATAGGATCAACAATTATGCATTCTTAGAATGAGCTGGAGCCGTGCCTCTGTAGGAATTGTTTCCTGGAAAATTTAAGAATATTTTGGTAAATTATATCATTCTGGAAACAGGAGTTTGTTGCCTTTAATAAGTCTGCTACATTTTGAGAAAATGATTTTATTGTTAGTTGTTGGCATATTATTTATGATGAGTTCTATGTTAATATGATGTAACAAATGAAGAGATTTGTTCAGAGAAAGATCAAGAGTCTTCTTCAAGATAAACTTAGCCAAATTGTCCCGTGAAAACAGTGAAAGTTACAAATTTGTTGTTGCTGGGGGATTGCAGGAGTGAGGTGTTTGCGGTTCACATTTGAAATGATATATGAGTTTTTTATCAACAATATTATCCTAGCTCCTTTATGATTTTGAATTGTTTAGAGTTTATTTCGTGATATGTTGTTTGCAGTCAAGCTTGAATTTATTTGCATGTCAAATGAACCGAGGTTAATCGTTACTTTAAGCTTGTAAAATTTGCAATTTTAGCTGGAGAAGCTGCTGCACAATTCATACATGGGGTTAATTACCTGTCACCTCTGAGGTTTGGCGTAAAACTTTTTCTTCCCCAAATTTGGAAACAAGCATGTCATTCCCGATTAGAGGTTCTTTCGATTAGATGTAATGATGTGAAGGGTAGAAAAGGCTTTTTGAATAAATTTTTGGCTTTTTTTTACATTCGAGAAATGCAGCAGTACCAAAATGGTTGTTTATTCAAAATGAATTGCCATTTTGGCTGAAATGGTCAACCGTTTAGTTTAAACTTCAAACTGCGTGTTCAAGTTGTCAACCGTTTATGCAGACTTCAAACTGCGTGCTCAAAATTGTCAACCGTTTATGCAAGGTATGTTATCTGTCTTTTGTATTGTTATAATTACCTGGCAGAAAGATCATTTAGGGGTAAGAATGTTAGCTTCCCAAAATTGGGCAAGGTTTTCACACCAAAATTCAAGTGGCAATGTACCCATTGGAAAATAATTACATTTATTAGTCCAAGTCTAATACATAATTCAATTAATGTTAAGATATACTGTGAACACCAAGCTTTTCAGCAATCAAAAGCCCGAAGAACAGATGATATAGCCTGGGCCAGGGGTCATAAATGTTTAAAATCGTTCTAAATAGTTTTTACTTGTTCATTCTTTCCTAAGCAATTGTGGGATTCATTTGTTCCAAAGAATATCTATATTTTATAAGATTCCATAAAACCGCACAAGTTTGACAAAAGTGATATTTTGTGTTCATACTCCTTATTACCATTAAATGCAATTTTTTAATCAACATTTGACAAATTTTATGAAATTACAAGGGGTAATTTAGTTGGATTCTATAAAATTTTTCTTATATAGTAGAATCTTCCTATAGTCATAATGTTGGGATCAACTAAATTTATTACTATAAGAAGATTATAACTTAATAGAGGTGTAATTATAAGAATTATTTTGTTGATTAAAAAATTATTATTTTGATTTCTTAATTTATAATTCATGTTTTAGTAGTATTAGGGTTTCAATTCATTGTTTTAGTGACATTATGATAGTATGGAAATGGATATCAAAGAGTTGTTACAAAATTAAGTGATCAGATTTGACAACTTTACTACACTAATCAAATAGATATTAATACCACTGTTTTAAAATCCGGATTGGACCGGCCGGTTTGATCGGTCCAATCGGGACCCGGGCTCTACTTTGGTCCAAATTATTATTAAACTCGCTAATACTAAAAGAGTTGCTTTGGACCAATATTAGACCGGTGTTACAGTACAAACCGTTCGGTTCGACTGGCCCAAAACTTATTCCGATCCGTTAATTGAGCCCTAGAAAAAACCTAATCTTAATTCCCTTGCATCAGTTTCATTCGCCATAGGCCATTTCAGTCGTTGCAACTTCCATTTTCATCTCTAAACCACAACTTCCATTTTCATCTTCTTTAAAGTGTAAAGTTTACATTTACTTCCTCATCTTCTTCAACTTACTTCCTCCATCGAAATCCAATCTTCTTCATCGAAATCGAAGACCTGGAATTCATTAACGAAATCGTGACTACAGCATTATGTCGGCTTCGTTTCACTCTTAGACAGTAGAGTAAACACTCAATCCATCATCAGGATGTTGAGCTTGCTCATCTCGGTCATCATCATATTGAGTAATTATGGAATTACGAATCAGCTCCTTTACCATTGCTCCAACACCCATTGTTTTTGTATCAAAATCGTTCTTCTTCTACGCATCTCTTTCAACTTCCTCATCCTTCTACTTCTGCACTTGCTCTCTTCTCTCTTTGTTCACCTCCATCACAGTCACAGATCTTTTGAGTTGTGTTGGAGATTTTCTAAAGTATTCATAGATGCCCTCACCCACACGTGGCTGGAGTTAAGCAGTACATGTCCTACCTCTCACCATTGTTTTAAAACCCGAACCGGAGGGCAACCCGCTCTGCTCTCCGGTTCATGGGTTAACCGGTCCAATCGGTTGGACCGTCGGTTGGATCGATGATGTCAGCACATAAAAAACCTTTTGTATTTTTTTTAAAGGATTTCCATTTTTTTTTTTAATAAGACAATACTATTGTACCCAATATGAACATCTTCTCTTCACATCCAATTTTGATTTAACTTGTGATTCCTTTAATGGGTAAAAATACAATAGTTTAGCTTCAGTTTTCTTTAACAGGTGACCGAGCAAGTGTTGACTTAATTGCCAAAAAGGTATTTCAAAATTAGGATTGAGATTGGTGAAACGCCTCTCAACCAGACCAAGCTTTGTGACATCAACCACCCTTGTCCCCTCACCATCCACAACCTTCCCTTCTCCCTCCTTATCGAACAGAGGAGCCTTGAACCGGTCAAAAGTCGATAGTCTCTCTATGGCACCCCATTGCTGAGCAATTTCAACATCAGAAACGAGCGCCTCATCATCATCCTTTCTAGTGCCTCTTTGACTCGAAGATGACTTGCGCCTCAGCGAAGACTTTAAGCTTCTTCTGAGCTCTATTGGACTAATTCTCATCTGTTCCCGACAAATTGCGTCATTTTTGAAGCGTTTGTTCACAGTTGTGAAGCTGTGAAAGGTTGGTGGTTTGGAACTTAATCCTCCGGCTTCTATCCATTATCAGTTTCCTTGCATAAATAAGAATGCAGAAATTAAAAAAAAAAAAAAAAGGAATTAGCAAGAAGTACAATTTGACCTCTAGAATCACAACTCTAAAGAAAAATGAGTTAAAATCAAAATTGTACATCATATGATTGAGAAAAGTATCTCAGGAATGAAACCAATTAGACCTACTAGAATGAATAGTTGTGATCGAGTCAGCAGGTTTACAGATTACATCAACAATGCACTATGCGGTATTTTTCAATTTTCGCTTCTTAA